CGTAGCCCCCCGTCATGCACAGACTCTGGCTCCGTTCATAGAGACTTGTGTTTTGATGTGCTATTGTTTCAAATAGGGATGTTTAAGGTGGACAATTTTGTATGAGTTTTGTTGGGACTTGGGAGTGACGTCGTTTTAAGTGAAATAGTGAAGGCTTTAGTAAGATAGTTTTGTCTCGATTCTGTTTTGACGTCATAGTTCTGTAAGATATGGTGTTGATACGGTAAATTGGTATGAAAATTGAAAATAAAGAAGAAGAATAAATTGAAAAATCTATATCTATACTATACATATAATAAAATCGTAGAAAAGTCAAAATTGTGCATTATATATTTTTTTAAAAGAATACTTGGGCCATGATTTACAATCGATACCGAAGCCAAAAATATGGTTTTTGGAATTTTTATCTGTTTGTCTGTTTGTATGTCCGGGGTGATCTCAAAAAGTACAGCATGGATTTACTTCAAATTTTGCATGAATATTACTAATAAATCGGGTCAACATATAGGCTATCACACTATCGCCTACGTTACTGAATCAATTCTGGCGACATTAATTACCGTAGAATATCCCTTGATAAAAACTAATTCAAAAGCCTAAATTCTGCCAGAAGTAATTATTCTACGCGGACGAAGTCGCGGGCAACAGCTTGTCAATTAATAATTTGTTTCCTCTTCACGTTTCAATTAATGGGAATATTAAGCCGAAATTCCACTATGAACTGTATAATAGGAGGACAATATAATTGGCTAGTTTTAGTTTCCTAGGTTTAAAATAAATTGTTTCAACTTTTCAAAGCAATAAATAATTAAGAAAATAATCATACTCTCATCCACTGATTTGACAATTTACCTACTTTTGAAATTTTCACGCTAATTTTAAGGAAATAAGTATACTACTTGACGCAGAAATATGATGACGTCGTAAGTTGCGATCCAATACAAAATTCATAGAAAAGTATAGTTTTTGACATTTCAATAAAAATATTGAATTTGACTACCTGTCAACTGCCGTATTATCAATAGTAATATTATAAAAGGAAAGATTTGACTGTTTATTTGCATAAATAGTGTGTCGAAAATAATTCCTTTCTGTTCATTTCAGCAATCGATCGCAAGACCATAACCAAATGTACTGAGTATCAACGGCAGGTAAGGTGATGAGGCCAGCGTAGCGCCTCACCTCTTTCAGAAGACCTCCTTTCTTTTCGGTCTCCTACAATGTACAATGTATACAATGCAATCTAATTGCAAGTAGGTACGTTCTGTCCGGAAATTATTGTAACGATGTAAGCAAATAATAAATGTTTATTTTTTTATTTTATTTATTATCAAGGAAAAACAAACAGTAACATATTAAATAATATACATAATTCAGCTTACACATTATACTTGGCAAATATGTATGTTACCCACTACGTTCTCCACAGATTAATTTTTATATTACATCTAGTAAATAAATAAAAATAAATAAAAAAAATTTCTTTCTTTCTGTTCTTTCAAATCCCGAATATTGCGCAGCCACGACTCTTTCCTTCTCTTTCCTTCCTGAAAAATGTACTGGATGAAATGAACTGACGTAGCTTTCTGCCTAAAACAGCAAAACTGTAGAAAGATCTGTATTTATTATGGTATTTCTGAACCGATACGACCTTGAAACCTTCACGAAAAGAGCGTATTCCTTTTTAAAAGGCCGGCAAAATACCTATGACTCTTCTAGTGTTGCGGGTGTCCATGAGCGGCTTTATCCTGGGTACGAAACTGCTGGCAGAAAGTAGTATCTTAATCCACTACAAAGCTACGCAGTTGCAAGCTTGGCACAATGGTTATCGCATGAGATTTACGATGACGGGTCACAGGTTTGACCTCAGCATTGTTTCTGTTCTTTTAATGATAAAGAGAGACTAGCTACGGAGGTCCTTAGCTACTACGTTAACCGGTGCTGGCGAGGAACCGGTCTAATACCTCGTCGTCATATATGTTGAAGCGTAAGCAAGCAATCATAAAATATAATGTCAAATGTGTCAAGAAAAAATGATACATAATGTAAACAGGCTCCAAAACGTTTCATTACACCATACACACTGCCCAATGTGCTCAATATGCCCAATGTGCATATAAACAGCAAGCTGAACAACTGAACTGATGCAATTGCACATTCATTGTGTACATCACAAAGGGATTTGTCACAGTCCAGTTCAAATTACTCGCTTGTAATTCAACTGTCTATTAAACCTATTTGATTACATAGGTAGGCAGATATTATGGATAGGGTTTCACAATGTGCACTAATACATATCAAGCTATGATTAACCAGTGTAAAGTGACTGGTGAGTATGGGCAAAGATCATACAAAGAGAGAGCATGATAAACTGGTTTTGTATAACTTGGTGTGAATAGTGTCTACATTGGTATGGATAGGGTTTTAAACAAGGGTTGGTACGGCTGTATAAAGGTATGCTAAATTGTGAGTTATTGTTAAAGCTTAAGGTTGAAAATATTTTAAGTGTGGGAAAGCCATGCTTCGGCACGAATGGGCCGGCTCCATCGGAGAGATATCACGGTCTCACAAAATACCGACGTGAAGCAACGCTTGCGCTGTGTTTTGTCGTGTGACTGAGGTTGTCGGAGGCCCAATTACCACCCCCCACCCTCTCTCCAGTCTCCTTAATCCCCGAATCCTCTACAATCCTCAAATTCCCAATTCCCAAAAGGCCGGTAACGCACTTGTAACGCCTTGGTGTTTCAGAAGTCCATGGGCGACGCCGATTGCTTACCATCAGGTGATCTGTCAGCTCGTTTACCGGCTTACGCTATAAAAAAAACGGTTTTATGGTACCTACTTACCTTTAGTGTTGTGTGTTACTATACCTAATAACAAGTTGTTACCGGCGTTTTCGCCTGCATGGTTATGGAGAAATTTCGTCTACCAGTCTTTAATGTCCTGTAAATGAAATCACTTTTTAAATCAAATAATTTATTTCGGTTGCAAACATGGTGTAAAAATATAGTAGGTGTTTATATTTATGGGCGACGCTGATTGCTTACCATCAGGTGATCCGTCTGCTTGTTTACCGGCTTATACCATAAAACAAAATTAACTTACACAAATATTGTTTATTTTATTGTCTCCAAAACAAAATTCAGACTATGAAAACATAAAATTATCCCATTATGACCTGAAAGGTGAACAAACGAACATAGAGAGGAATATTTTGATTTTGTGTTTATATTGAATAGACTCGGAAACTATTGGACCGAATTATAAAATACTTACACTATTAGAGACGGCAGGATTCACTTCAAAAATATGGTTTTTGACCAATATCTTTAATGGTGATAAACGAAAATGTGACCTACGATGTGACACGATTACCTGTATGCACCATATTCTTATTTCTATGGAATTATTTTTTTAGTTTTTTATGGGGTGAAAATCATCGAATGGCTGCTTCCGCCTGTGTGAGGCGGGAGAGAGTGTCAGACTCTTATTGACTAAAAACCACCCCGCTCCTTCTCCTGCACGTCGAGCCGGAGCCCCGGTTACCCGTTAGGTTCTCCGCGACACCGAATCGGCATCAGCCCAGTTGGGCCCCATCCGTGGTGGTCTGATGGCTCTTTGAGGCGCGAGTGGAACGCGACGCACTGTACGCTCGGGTTTTTTATGGAATAGGATGCAAACGAGCAGACGGATCATCTGATGATAAGTAATCAGCGCCGCCCAACACCAAAGGAGTCACAGCGTTGCCGGTATTCACTTGTGACTTAAAAACATAGACTCTGGCAAGAAATCAAAACATTGAACCTATCTACCTTTTTAGTGGGTGGGAAATTATGATTTCCTTGTAAAACGTCCTCTCATACAATCATAGGTGCATTCACATCACAATCAGAGCCGAAACGGCAATCTATAGATTACATTTAGACAAGAAACTCAGCAGTCGCTTCCCTGTCTCTCAGCCTGCATCATCAGTCGTACATCGGATGACTTAAAAGCCACACCGTTCCATCTTCTGCTCCATGCAGAAGATCTCTAAGATATTGACTTATGGAGCGACCTACCCCCCATCGTGACAAATAAAAAAACTTAAAATACTTATTTATTTTAATGCAGCATTTTCTTTAAATGCAATTGATTCATGAAAATGTGCTGACCTTACATTATACCAATAAATTAATTTCTTTTCTTTTCATCATAATAGTTTTGACTAACAAGGCCATCTATTGTTGACGGAATAAGAATATAAGAATGTCTAACAGCGCCATCTATCAGTACTACTAGAAGAGGGTTCACGTCTTGTTTTGATACATAGTTTAAATATTCAAATGTAGATGACACTGATGTCGCCATGTAAAAATGTTCATTCATAATATTACTAATACAGATTTCTCAAAAACAATCTAATTACTAATAGGTGTTTCATAAATATTTGTAATTTATTACATATCATTTATTAAAACTAAAACACTTCAAATCAAGGTTTTCACAGAAAGTGTTGCCATACTTTTTTTCCATATGCTACAAAAACAGCGACAAATAAATATTAATTACTAATCTAATAAAATAGTTCTAACAGTAAAGTGAACATAAAAATGCTAAAAACAATACATCCATTTTTAACTTTTTAAAATTAATCATGTCTTGAATGGTTTTGAACATAAAAATCCTTTAGCTTCACAGAGATGGCTTGTTTATAGGTAATAAAAAAAATAAAAAAGTCGCCAAAATTGTTTGAAAGGGCGGGAAATTTATAAAATAAAAATAATTGATCCAAGGATTAAATATAATTATAACACAAAAGTGACCATTTACCATGTAAGTTTCATAACAAAGATATTTTTTAACTTAGTATTTGACAAAACAAACATTATTTTCCGACAAAATTGTCGCTTCGTGACAGCAACACCGTTGCGAGTAAGCACGTATAATTTTATACACATGTAGGTCAATGGAAAAAATGGCTTAGCACCGAAGTAAGCTCATATGTATCGTGGCAAGAAATAATTTTATAATTTAAATGGCCTTCAGTGATTTATGTCACTTAAGTAATGCGTACAAAACCGTCGAAAATGAAACAGATCAGGTAAGTGAGTGTTTTTGTATAGTGCCATTTTCCAATGGGTGTTGTAAATGTCTTGGACTGTCAATCTGACCCGAAATCCGGGTGATATTACACGAATTATTTGTTGGAAGTGCATTATTTTACATATGTGGACTATTACAAGTGCTAAACATGTTTCTAGTGAACGTTTGTTGTGATATTTTTCAGTGCCGTGTTCCGATATTTTTTTGACATAGTGTAGGTAATGACATCGGGGAATGCACATAATATTTTTAGAATTATGTAGTTTGTACGTTAGAGGACAAAATAACAAGGTAACATATTATAAATATACTGTTTTAATGTGTGTGACGACATTTAAATGTTATGAAATACTGCAGTTTTGGGTGTTTCTTACATGGACAAATTGTAACACCTACCCACTTTCTATATTCGTTACTTGAGACAAAGTATACAAATACGGTTATATTGGTTGTGTGTGGCCACATCACAAGTGTAACATGCTAAACATCTTGTAAACTGAATAAAAGACCTTGTGTGATAAAAACTGTAATTATAGAAATCAAATAACAGTGTCAGATTCCAGTAAGACAACAATTGGAATGTCCTTGATGTAACTATTCATAAATAAGAACGTTTATTTATTAATATAAGCGAGTATTGGGTTCATAAATTCAGTATTTTTTGTTTTATTTCCATTGATCTTTGACCTGTTTAGTCAAGTCATCGAGATTTATTATGATAAACATAAAATTGTATCACAATGTACAATTATGTGTTGATAGACATATTATTTATCTTAAATATTAAATTTATTTAATAATTAATATATTCTATGAGCCTCTGCTTTTTCCCCAAAGCTGGAATGCATCAGTTATACAAATTGTGGAACAAGAAATAGTTTTGAAAGCATATGCTAAATTATTTCTTTACCAGTTAATTTGTGAAACTAGACTTGATCAATATTCTAGTTAAAATTTTATTAGTCAATTTCAATTTAATACACCCAGTCATCCACCATTTGCAAGATAGGCTGCAGTATGGACCACTTTTTAATTAACTATTACACATATGATCCCAAGGTGAAATTAAGGCAACTATCCGCTTGGAATTTATGAATTTACAAGAAACAGCAATTCACACTTACACTACCCTGCTAGCCACCATCAACAACCAACTATAAGAGGGCTCGGGGATCTCCAAAAAAACCTGTTCCAGATTCCATATTGTAAAACCTTGGCCTATTAAAGGCTCCCTAGGCAGTCAGTCTAGACTGCGTGGTTGGTGCGTTGGCTGGATAACCGGCTGCCATGCAACAGGACGCAGGTCCCATTCCTATACGGAACAACTCTTTGTGTGATCCACACATTGTTGTTCCGGGTCTCGGTGTCATATGTATGTGAACTTTATGTTTGTAAATGCACCCACGATACAGGAGAAAATCCTAGTGTGAAGCAACATTTGAAAAAGAAACCCTAAGGTCTAAATCAAGCTGCTAACTACCAAACTTATAATAACAACAATAATATGTTTGAAATATCAATTTCTATTATCAAATGTCCGTAAAGAAGGAGGTACTCTTCCTAATGTGTAAACCTGTAACTTGTGTTCTTTGTGTAAAAAGATATGACTAACTAACATAATATTTAGCGATTACATAGGACTTGTAACATAACTATCTGAATTTAATTTTATTTACATTCACATTTATGAATATATCCTAGCTTCATTGTCAGACAGAGTGATGGACAATTCAGTTTTGATGTTTCAAAATATTGAAAAATTCTTTGACTTTGAAAGGTATTACATGGGACTCATAACATAAATAGTGAAAAGTTGGTGTTACATTGTACAGTGGCATAATGTGCACCTCTGCCTTTCCTCTTTGGGGATAAAAGGTGTGATTTATGTCTGTGAAAGGTTCAGGTTTATCAGATCACTGTTGCCTAGGGTATATCAAATATAGGATAGTTGCTCGGTCATTTCTGATGACACACTTAGAAAGAATAGAATACTCTGCTGTAGTAACAGCTGCTTGGTTAATGCTTTGACTTAGTAGCGGAAGCATTAGTTAGCTAACTCTTCAGGAAACAAAATGCTCAAAAATACTATGTTCTTGTGTATTGATATCTATCCAATATTAAGTTATCAATGTTATTATGCAGCAATAAACATTATTACATTGCAATCTAAATTGTTATTTGCCCATTAACATATACAATCTTATCAGATAAAACTAATTCATATGAAATCAAATTTACATTGTATATGAATGATGTCACCACATTGTTTATTTACTTTGGTTTTAGCTTATGTTAATAGATCTACGTAATATTGTTAAAAGGTTATATTCGGATTCATTTATTTTTATTCGATTTAGTCTGTCACGTAATAGATTTTTGTAAATGTTACATAACTGAACTTATTTTTTAAGTCTGTTTCTCTAGTAAATGGGTGATTCTCCAAAAAATTAACGGCGTCATTCTCCTTAAGCCACAGTTAACAATTCTGCTGATTAAAATACAAAGTTTAGTTTCAAAAAATTGAGCCACGTCACTGCTCTCACCCAATGCAATAAAATACAGATGCTAATAAGTTACCGCGATGCTTAACAATGTGGGAGGATATAAATAAAAGTTAAAGTTTTTTGAAGAAACACCCAAATATTGCCTTGATTATAATTGTTAAGATTCTCCAATCATCCTTCTTAAGCCAATTCTATTCTATTTCATACTCTAAGAGATCTGTTACCAGCCAGAAACTCAGAACCACTTTCGACCACTTAGCCAATGAGGTAGTCAAGGAAACAAACATATTTGAAGTCCGGACTCTTTTAACTAAGCCTCAGTTTGAGATGGTGGTCAAACGTCGGCCCATTAAATATAAAAAAAAATCAGTTAAAAACTTTTCATTGAAAGTGAGCGCATATTGAATTGCTCAGTCAGTTTTTACCTACAAAATAGTCTTTCCTTTTACTGATTACACTATACGTCATTATTTTAGTTACTAAACTTGCCAATGAATCATACATTCGCCAACAATACTGTTTTTGTGCAAAAAAAAATACCCACAAGTGTTGATTGAACGGTAATGATGTAATACATTCGTTTACTGTTTACAATCTGTCCTGTTTACGTTTAAACATTGATGTTTTTTCTTGAAAACTTCTTGCTTTTCAATTCTAATAAGTTGTATTAATTAAACACCGTTTCCAAGTAGGAATAAAAATAAATGGCTGTCTTTTCTTAGAATTAATTCATGTAACTATGATACCTCTATAGAATATTAATCTTGTACATTGTAGATAGTTATTAAAGTCTTATTATTATTATTAACTACAAGAATACTGACTGGATTTGTTCCTAATATAAAAGTCATAGACTTGCATTCTATTACTTGAGACTAATAAAAGGAGGATTTAACGTTTAAATAACATCACACACATCTAAACACATTTTTTAAACATTAGGATTGTCTATTTTGTCGTAGGTGCCTTTATAAACATACAATTTCACTTAATCATGACACCCAGCCTCGAAACAACAATTTGTGGATTACACAAATAGCTCCGTGTGGGAATTGATCCTGCTACGGCCTACAGCGTGTCAGCAAGTTGGCTTGGTCAGCCGCCGCGCCAAGTGTGCAGTCAAATGCGTGTTCATGTCAATTCTGATTCTCTGAGGCTGTGATATCACTCCAGTCCAGTCGGTCCATTCATGCCGAGCATGGCTCACCGGCGCAATCTTCGTGTATTGACTTAGGTACTGACTGCCTAACTACTTACTGAAGAAAGCAAAGAGTTTAGTTTAACTTAATATGCTGCCATATCTATAACTTCTTTCTTCATAGAATACAAATGACCTTTTTTAAGGGGGAAAAATCATCGAATGACTTCTCCCGCCGCCGCCTGGGTGAGGCGGAAGGGAGTCTCTTACTGACTAAAAACCACCCCGTTCCTTCTCCTGCGCTTCGAGCCGGAGCTCCGGTAACCCTTTAGGATCTCCGCGGCTCCGTATCGGCATCAACCCTATTGAGGCCCATCCGTGGTGGTCTGATGGCTCGGGTCTGGTTCTGGTCGGGCGGCGAGCCACCCATGCTCTCCGTCCGCAGGTCCGCGCTTACGGTGGCCGGAGATCGTTTACAAATGACCTTAAGATGTCGAGTCTGGTCAAACAGCACTTTTGTTGGTTGGAACCAATCACTTTCAGCAATTTATAAGATTGCTTAGAATGTCTCTGGGTAATTTGTTAGCCACTTAGTTGACATCTATTTTGTCATTTGAGAACATAAAACTTAATGATATGACTTATATTCATGTATGAAAGCTTTGTTACTGACTGCCTTATTGGCCGAGTGGTCGCAAGTGCGACTGCCGGGCAAGGGGTCTCGGATTCTTTTTCCCGGGTCGGGCAAAGTATTACTGGGGTTTTTAAAAAAAAATCTCAGTAGTTCCACGGAGTCTGGAAATGTGCCCGTTATATGGCAATAGGCTCACCCCCTATTACATGGGACTCATAACCTAAAATAGTGAAAAGTGAGTGTTACATTGTACAGTGGCATTAAGTGCCGTAATGTGCTCCTCAGCTGGTTATGTAATGACAGACAGACAATTTATGGCTAAAACCAGTTACTTGTCGTACAAAATTGTGTAGATTTCTTGAAATCGAAATAACTAGAGAACACTTAAGGTTCTTCCCGAATTTATTTCCAGATATGGTTCTAGGTGTAGCATTGGTACATCTACCCTTATTGGTTTTAACAATTTCTGTTGCCTTCTTTGTACAGATACGAGGTCAGAAATATTCCCAAAACTTAAATGGTCGCGGAGAACCTAACGGGTTACCGGTGCTCCGGCTCGAAGCGTAGGGGAAGGAACGGGGTGGTTTTTAGTCAGTAAGAGTCTGACACTCCCTCCCGCCTCACCCAGGCGGGAGCAGTCATTCGATGATATTCCCTCCTTAAAAAAAACTAAATTATTCTATTTTGAATTATCTCCCAAAACTGAAACTAAAAGAAAATCTTTAATAGTCTCCTTGAAATAACTTGACCTGCTGGCTGTAAACGATTATTTTAATAGAATTAATGGATTGATCTTGTTACGAACTTGTATCGCAGACTTTATTGCATACTAAATAAAGTGCCCACTAGTAGTTATCCTGGTTTTATGACACACTTAAATTAATTTGACCAATGTTATAGTCTTACTTTGTTGGTAGACGACCTTTATGATACTTTGTAAATAGAGTACAGAATTTATTTTTACTATGTTAAAGTTAGGGTTGGTTAAGTATTTCTCATCGAGGCTATCTAAAATAGAAACCTACGAGGTTTTTCTATTTTAGACCTCGTTGGTCGGCCTTTATAGTCGTAAGAAGTATCTATACCTACAAGTCGTTTATTTTTCTGAGGGGGGAAAATCATCCAATGAGTCCTCCCGCCCGGGTGAGGCGAGAGGGGGTGTCAAACTCTTACTGACCAAAAACCACCCCGTTCCTACTCCTGCCCTTCGACATGCAGTGAGTTCTCCCGTCTGGGTGAGGCGAGAGGGAGTGTCAGACTTACTGACTAAAAACCACCGCGTTTCTAGTCCTGCCCTTCGAGCCGAAGCCCCGGTAACCTGTTAAGTCCTCCGCGTCTCCACCTATAACTAGTCGTAGAAGTTATATTCTCTTTGGTTGTAACTGGGCTACTGTGACTTTCCAGTCGGTTTCGGTGTAGGGTCGAGTATTATTTTCGGCATTAGGGAGATTAATTAATTCTTAAATAAGAGGATTTATTTATAATATCGCCACTGCTCTTTGGTATCACGATTTCCCTATATGAAAATGTTATTGGTATCCTAGGTAGTGCCCTCCCTCCTTCTAAACCTCCATATCCATCAAAAATCAACTCTACACTAACCACATCAAACAAACCTTGCATATTTCACAAAGCCTTCAAAAATAAAACTCACAGAGAATCTCCTTCAAAGTCTTGGAAGTATAATTTCATTCAACGGTCGGTCGGATAGCGACCAATTTCTAAGTACACACAACCAGTATGATTTGACCGTCGAATATGTGGAGAGATCAATAAAGCGAGACCATGATAAATTGGTTCTGTATAGCTTGATCTGTGGCTACATCCAATGTGACGGAGCGGGGCCGGGAACTAGGTCAATGCAAAATTTTTATCCCGATCCTGTTATGAAAGTTTTCAAGCTTCGCTGCCGAGGTACCTACGTTGGAGACTTGGGCTTTATTCTTATGTAATTCCTTTTATTTTTACCCCTGTTAAAGGTTTTCTTTAAAGGGTTGTTGGTTGTGTAAGTTTAATTGCTGAGAACAAGATGAAACGACATTTATTTCTGTAAATAGACGCGGGTCCTGATGTTATAAAGTTATATAATTTACTATTGGGGTTTTCGGATTTCAAATACTAATGCGTTTGTTGTTGCGGTCTAGAATTTTACCTGGTAATTCCTTATTTAGTTACCTACAAGAATCCACCGGGTTTATGTTTAAGTTCTCTATCCAATGAACATTCGAAAGGTCGTGGGGTTTATAAGTTCAATCCCTCAAGGGTCCTTCCCTAAGGGGTTAAACTGTCGCGGAGAACCTAACGGGTAACCGGGGCTCCGACTCGACGTGCAGGAGAAGGAATGGGGTGGTTTTTAGTCAGTAAGAATCTGACACTCCCTTCCGCCTAACCCAGGCGGGAGCAGTCATTCGATGATTTTCCCCCCTTAAAAAAAAGGGGTTAAACTAAGTCTGTCCTTTGATATTGTATTTTTATTTAAATTGTAATGTATACTGAACATGAAATTGTTATTTGATTGGCAACGTAACTGTGAAATCACTACTGTGTCTGAACTCCGGTTTCACCTGTTAATTATAATTTAATCTTCTGTTTCTTTACAGTCGGAACGCATTATGGAAGAAAATACGATCGTCCGTGATCTCATCACAAAAATTCTCGATGAGACCGGACCATCAGAAGGGTGCAGGTGAGTTTTTTCAATACGATACCGTACTACATAAATATAAAGTAGAAATTAGATCCAAACTGTATTTCTATGACCTGTATAAGATATTACTTCATTTATAGATTCTTGTATTTGAATTTCAAAACCATCTTTCTAACATTTGTTTGACGAAAATTATAATTTCAATGCGAACGAAGTCACGTGCAGAATTGTGTTTTAAATTCGAGTAGGTACTTGATTATAATTATTATTTAACCACAAAATCTTCGCAAACGCACGCGACGACTGCACGGGAAGCAACCTCAAAATGTTGAAATTAACTGACTACTGTCACCACTAATCCTTAGTGTTGAATTAAGGATTAATAAATGCTGCTCACCTATTAATTCCTAATCGAACACTTTTTTATGGTATAAGACGGTAAACGAACAGACGGATCACCTGATGATAAGCAATCGGTGTCGCCCATAGACACTCGGAACACCAGAGGCGTTCCAAGTGCGTTACCGGCCTTTTGGGATTACGAATTTGAGGATTGTTGTGGAAACAGAGATTGGGGAAGAGTGGGGGGAGGGTAATTGGGCGTCCCGTTTTTAATCGTCGGAGTAAACTGTCAAAGGTTGATGAATAGAATATAAAAAAATATATATGTCTAATATCAATATCTGTAGTTCACGTTTCAAGATAAAATATTCCAATATAAGTACGCCTATAATACTCATTATCATCATCCCGTATTCGTCCACTGCTGGACATAGACCTCTCCAATAGCACGCCACTGAGCTCGGTCTTCAGCTCTTCCCATCCGACCACTACCAGCCACCTTGCGGATATCGTCACTTCACCTAGCTGGAGGGCGCCCTACTACTTTTGCCTAGACGCGGTCTCCGCTCTAATACACGTTTACCCCAGCGGTTATCGGTTCTTCGACAAATGTGACCGACCCACTGCCGCTTCAGCTTACTGATCCTTTGGGCTATGTCGATAACTTTGGTTCTCTGTCGGATCAATTCGTTTCGGATTCGATCCTTCAGATTCCGAGCATAGTCCTCTCCATAGCTCGCTGCGTGACCTTTAATTAATGGACCAGTCGCACTGTCAGTCTCCACGTCTCGACTCCGTATGTCATTACTGGAAGGACGCACTCGTATAATAATCCTCAATATCAAGAAGCATTCAATGCAATGGAATCCTTTATAGCCTTGAATTCTCGTATAAAAGATTCTAGCGATGCCTGATGCTTCAATTCAATTTGATATGAACGGAAACGCCCAGTTATCGTACTACAAAGAAATTGATCTCGCTGTTGCAAGTGCATAAACTGTATTGCACAACCAATTTAGCATAGTATTTGAGTGAACCAGTGTTTTAAAGTCGTTTTATTGTATTGCAATATTTTATAATCTCTTCTTATATTGTGTTATTTGGGTCCTATTTTGGTTATATTGGACTATGTCACCCAAAGTCCGTACGTACGTCATGTACTCGTATTGATCGATCTCTCAAGAAGTCTGCTATCCATCTGCACAGATCAGCAGGAAGTCCATATGCAGGAAGCTTGCCGATAAGACTTTCGTGCCATACCCTGTCAAAGGCCTTCGAGATATCGAGGGAGACTGCCAATGCATCCCCGTGCCGTGTGTATAATGCTGAAAGTGCTTTATTCTTAGGACGGGATGTCGGTTTGAGACGTTGCGATCCTCAAAATTAAATAGATCCCAAATATTCATGTCCTTAATGTCGGAATACTGAAACGCTACTCAATTTTAAGTCGTGCTTAAGTATAGTTCTGTCTCTACAAATTCTTTGTAAAATGACAGAGATGGCACGATATTTGAGCACGACTTAAAATTGAGTAACGTTTCAGTATTCCGGCATAAGTTAACCATACTATTTGCTTAGTGAATAAGACAATTTTGCGGGACTTGAGCCTTTTATACAGTTACCATTGGAAGGAATGATTCTTGGAAAAGGAATAAATATATAGTTTATGAACGCTACTGATCACTAAATGTTTGCTCGCCCAGTCATAATGTGAACCTACAGTAGTTACATTAACTATTGTCAAATAAATCCTAAAGTATTTACGCAATTTTGAGCTGAGTCAGCCAAAACACGAGACAGCATTTCACCAAGTCAGCTTCAAAATATAAAAATAATTTAAAGAATGCTCACTGAACTCATAAATAAAACAATGCCAAATCATTGACGTAATACTCTTTTTTAAGAACGACATTTTAAGGGCGCTGTGACCTCCAGTTATCTTGTCTTTTTATCAGACATCAAATTAGGCATAACAATATGACGTGTAAAATGCTGCATCGTGCTTGTAATGGGGACTGGGGTATCGTATCTTTGCGTTAAATATTTAAAGTAAATATATGTTTTGTTTTTATGATCTTTCAAGTTTTATTGCGTCTTTGGTCGAATAATCACAAGCGTGGTTGCAGAGCAAGGAGTTATAGGATCTCTGTTGAAGAAGTTCCATAATTCTTTGTGGTAGCTTGTATTGGGCATGGAATTAATAAATTAAAATGAATGAATGAATTAAAAGAGTAACGAATGGAGTTTCTTGCTCGTTCTTCTCCATTCGAATTTACATTTCGGAATGAGCACCTAGCTTCACTGACGGACTGACTGACAGACTATTATTTATTTTGTATTTGCTGACGTGTCAAAAGTACCAAAATGGTTTAATTGAAATAAATGCTTTGACTTTGACTTTGAATTGGGCCCGATGTATGGCAATGGGCTCGTTCTTTATTACACAAGACTCATAAAATTGACGAACGAAAAATAGTTGCTACACAACTTTACATTCACATTTTTTACCCTTTCGGGGAATTAAAGGCCTGGATTTAACTTATTTATTACTTTTTAATCAACCGCTCAGGCTATACGTCAAAAAACTTGCATATTAAACTGTCTCCTTGGACGTGTAACCAATTACGTTGCGGTCACCACTAAGCCTTCATCAGATTTGGCGTTGATTGAGCTTCGGAGTTCGAAATTAACATGAAAGGAATATATTATACCATCTATAACTCTCTAAAGCAGTGTTGGCCACAATTGTTGAGTAACCAAACTGATCGGACATCGTTAAGGATTTTCTCAAACAAATCGCATTTACGGTGGTATCCCGTAGTCAGGAAATTTGTTGGTGTTTTGAAAAGCACCACAAGTCATTGATTCTGTGACTGATTTTTCTCGGATTATGACAGAATTTTCTCCTAGGTCCTGATCAGCAGCTGTAGCCAAATGCCATTTAGCGCTTGTCTACTTGAAGAGTAGAAAACTAAATTATATGGAATTGACGTAAATTTTGACACGTTTGTCAGTGTCATCTTTAATTTCTACTCTCTCTGTAGACAAGCGCTAAAGTGGCGTTTGACTAAAGGCAGGAGAGTCAGGGAACAAAGAGTACATCAGTACACATACTTGTGCACTATAATATCTCTTAGGTTGTCGACTAATCTCTTGTATGATTGATCATCTAACTTGGTTAGAAAGCTTAGGATATCATTATTAGACTTTAGACCTTCTTACTAACTAAACTTTAAAGCAGTTTTTCAATTGTTCCTCAACAATGATGATTTTATGCGCATATACACAACACTGCTACCACGTAAATATGCATAAAACTATTCATTTAAAATGTGCATTTGTCTTTAAATGTTCATAATATTAATTTAACCTTTCGGTCTAGCCTTCTGTGAGATTCATATTTTATTATAACTATAATAGAGTTCTGTTAATAAAATGTAATTAGACAAAATTATTGATTGGGGGTTCTTGGAGTGACACACATATTCTAAAATTACTACATCTACTCATCAAAAGTAGCTAGTACCGTAGAACAGTGTCGCGGAGAACCGGCTCGACGTGCAGGAGAAGGAACGGGGGTTATTTTTAGTCAGTAAGAGTCTTAACACTCCCTCTCGCCTCACCCAGGCGGAAGCAGTCATACGATGATTTTCCCCCTTAAAAAAATTCTTAAATTACTACATCTACTAATCAAAAGTAGTTAGTACCGTAGAACAGTTTTAGGAACAATTTTCCAACGCCAGTAAAAGTTTATCTGAGGAATAACTTTGAATCTTTGACAATTCTTCCATACTAAAAACTGTCAAATGTCAGGTTTATTCTACAATTAAGAATTATCTGTTGATTGAAAATCGGCCTTTAGTATAGATATATCATTTTGCTCCACACTACATGTTTTCTGTTGTGCCTCGGTAATTGGCATATCACACCCAGGACCGAGATCCGGAACTGCCATCTACATCTCTACACACTCTACAAATACTTTTTCCAAGCAGAAATTGAACTCTTACAAAATTACTATAATTACGTATAACCTTGACTTTAGCCTCACCCAAGGTGCAGTGCAGCTAATAGACATTCGTGACTTGTTAAAGTATCAAAATTGCTGTATTTATTCACCAACACGCATTCAACAAGTTATTTCATGTTAAAAGAAAAACGAAGTTTAGTTTTAATCTTGTCGATGTATCAAGTAATTTCTCGTGTAGAACAATAATTGAGGTAGTTTTGTGACTTGTAACAATTTGGTTAAAGACATAATAGAGTTAGGGTGCAATAATGTTCTTTTACTAACAATTGTTTTTGTTGCCAATCAATAATAAATCTATACCGAAACTTGAAGAAAATATCTTTGATGTTTGTTTGTGACTTCGTTCGCATCGTAAATGTTTCGTTAATTGAACCTCGAATTCTCCAAATACAAACATGTTTTAGTAATTATTCAGCTTCAATGTGCTAAATATTTGCTTTTAATTCTTTCAGCCCTACACAACCACCGGAAAAACCAGTAAACAGTATACAACCGAGCCCTCAATATCCTAAAAATGAGGGCAACTCATTCATACCACCGTCATACAACTCATACCAGAACAACCAGCTATTCAACTTCAACCAATCCGACCAAAACGGATTCAACTTCAACCTGCAAAACGGTTTCGGTAACAATAACGGTTTTGTCAACTACGATAATGACGTGAGTGCATTACTCGGGATCGATCCCGTTGCAGATGCGTCGACCGAAACCGTGACACCAGAACAATTAAACCTTCTAAGGTTAGCCGCACAAGAAATTGGCGGTGCACAGTTCTCAACACCGAACGAGAAATTTAACAACTACAATTTCTTCGAACCGAACCAAAGAAACTCTTTGCCTGAAGCCAATATGTTCTCAGTGAACAACTTCAGCCGACCAAACAGTTTAAATCTTGATATGAACTTCAATTCCAACTTCGAAGCCCCATTTAATAACACACAGAGGTTTCCTAATAATTTCATGAAAGACCAGAATCAGGAGACGGAAATATTGACTTATTTGAATCAATTGAATATGTCTTCTGACAGGCCTCGAGACGAAAATGGAATTAACAATGTAGATTTGAGGATGCAAATGGATTTAAATGGTCACTTTCCAAATGAGGACTTTAGGCAAGAGGACCGAAACAAAATGTTCTGCAATAGAAACTTCCAGCAGATGCCGCCAAACAGGAATTTTGGGGAGAATAATTTCTACGACATGATGGCTCAGATGAACGATAGGAGTCCTATGGGTCAAAACTTTGATTTTTCGAACCAATCGACGCCAGTGTCGGCAGCTAACTCGATGAATTTTAATCGACCGAATGGGTTTAACCAGAACGATATGATGCAAAGACGTGATTTGAATCCCATGATGCCAAGGGACAATTTCCAGGGGAATGGCAATATGAATGAGAGGAACAACTTTGAAAATATGGGTCGTGAGAATATGCAGCAGGCAGCTATGATGAGACAGAACCAGGAGTTGGCTCGTCAAATGAGCATTCTAATGCGTAATAGACCACCTCCCAGTCAGTTGAATGTTGATGTGTCGTTTTTGCACGAGAATAACCCCTTTAACCTTGGTAAGTTCTTAAGACTTATTCTTTTTAAACATTCAGAATTTGTTTATTCAAATTAGGATTCTTTTATTTTGATTTCAATGGTGTAGTGTCACTGTAGAAGCCAAGATTGGTTAGCTATGCATAAGTCACACTTGAATTGAATTATAATTGAAATTGTTTTTGATTTGTCATAACTACTAAAAAAATAAAAACATTAAAAGTTAATAGAGAAAAGAGAATATGACATTGGACTCGTAACATAAATAGTGAAAAGTGGGTGTTACATTGTACAGTGGCATAATATGCACCTCTGCCTACCCCTTCGAGGATAATTAGAATTGCTGTCTTGAAAAAAGGTGCATTTGACAAGTCTGACTGTTCCGCATCGTGTTGCGATTCCCATTTTGCACGGAATAACTTTTTGTATGATCTACAAATTGGTGCATCGAGTTTGTGAACGTACCCACAACGCAGGATGGAGCCGCGAAAGACTTAACGGGTTGTAGAGGCTCCGGGTCGAACGGCAGGAGTAGAAACGGGGTGGTTTTTAGTCAGTAAGAGTCTGACACTCCCTCCCGCCTCACCCAGGCGGGAGCAGCCATTCGATGATTTCCCCCCTTAAAAAAACCCACAACAGGAAAAAATCCTCGTATTTATATGGATAGCTAAGGAGCCTCTGAAGGAGATATTTTTAGCACAAAGATACAGTAAATGTTTATTTCATAATTCAGCTGAAAATGATTGACTATTCAATTACTGGCCTTGATTCAAACTTTTGTTATTCATGTAATTCACGGAGGGAGTCACAATGACGTTGTTCGCGTTACTCGTACTAGTTATAGTTCGTGCGGTTCAAGGTGAAAAATATGGGCTGCTATACCATTGTACATTGTACACGGCTTTTTATTGAGTTTCATGGAAAAAAGAACCTATGTAGTTAACTAAAGTAGCAGCTATCTTATCTCTTTGAATAAATAAAAATTGACATGAAAATATTAAGTTAAACTGTCAAACACCAAGCGGTCACCGGTGACCGCAACCTATTGTTCTATAATTGTGTCTATAATGATGGTACTCGACGAGTTAATATAAAGAGGGCCGGAGGTTTAAGACGGGCTTCTCATGCATCCTCATGCGTGCGGTTTCGAAACCTACAAAAAGCAAGTACCAATGTGACTTTTTCCAAATTATATGTACTTTTTAAGATTATTTAGACACCACTGACAAACGGTGAAGGAAAACATTGTGAGGAAACCAAAGTATATAATTACTAATTGAGCAACCCGCATTGAGCAACTGTGTAACTGGAGAATTGTATTGTGAACCTGATTGGAAAAGAGTAACCTATGGAGCTTCTTGCTCGTTCTTCTCCATAGGAATGTACCCCTTGGAATAAGCAAATAGCTTCACTTTTAAGTTTATTTTGTTGACGTTCAAAAGTGCCTTCCTGGTCTAATTGAAATAAATGATTTTGACTTTGACTTTGTGGCGATTAATGCTCAAACCTCTCCGTGTGATAAGCGGTCTTTGGTCAGCAATAGCGACTTATAGGCTGTTGATGTCGTTGATGTAACATGTTAATATGTAGTGTTTGAATTGGATAATGTCTAACATAAATAGAACAAATTCCATCCATTTTTATGTAGGCTCTATACTCTTGATATGCCAGTATTTAACTAGCTTGAATTTGTGATGTCTTATGACTAATTTGACTGCACGGTTGGTGCGGTGGCTAGGCAACCGGCTGCCGTGCAACGTGTCGCGAGTTCAATTCCCGCACGGAACAACACTATGTGTGATCTACAAATTGTTGTTTTTGGTCTGGGTGTCATTGTGTATTTGAACTTGTATGTTTGTAAACGCACCCACGACTCAGGAGAAAATCGAAATGTGGGGCAACGTTTTTTAAAAAAAAAATACTTAATTTCAAAACGCGCTAAATAAGGTAGTTTCCTAAATTTTATTTGAATGTCTGTCTGGTACATTAATTTAAAACTTTCGATACGTATTTTTTCTTTTCTCACAAAAGTAAATACTTTCGGCGATATATTAATTTGAAATATCGTGTGACGTCACATCGTGCCACATTTTGTAGCACGTTATGACGTAACGACCTCCCACTCCTAAACTTAGCGCCATTCTATCTAAGTATTGCAACTTAATACGAGAAAAAATACGTGTCTAATATTTTTTCATTATGTAACTGACGGACTAATTAGATTTTTAATTTTGATAACCTGGAAACTACCCAATTATAGTTCTGTCACAACAAATTCTTTGTAAAACGACAAAAAGATGGCACGATATTTAAGTGGTATATAATAAACACAGCCTTTCAGTATACAGGCGTTAATGTTGTAGTTATTCCACTATTAAACTGTCAAACACCAAGCGGTCACCGGTGACCGCAACCTATTGTTCTATTATTGTGTCTACAAAACCGGTATTCGACGAGTTAATAACAGGGCTGTCCAAACTATAAACTCTCGCGGGCTAATTAAATTTTTTACAAAATCTAAAATGTTTTCAGTTGTATAATGACGTTTACCATTGTATTCTTTACTCACAGACTAAACTTGTATATAAATCAAATTATACACTGATTTTTATTATTGTTGTTGCACATAAGATAAAGATGTTGAGATTAAAATGTGTGTCGCGGGCCACATGAAAACAAACTGCGGGCCGCATGCTGCCCGCGGGCCTTAGTTTGGACAGCCCTGACTTAAATCATTTTCTTGATGTCTAAATATTTTTATATTTAGACATTGTGCCTCATTCGTAGGTTCTATTTAGGCATGTACATTCGTGTTTATTCATTAGTATGTTGCTGTCTAATTTTTTCAGGTCTAGGCGCCCTATTAGGCCCCAGTCCACCGGTCCCACCGCCAGTGTTGCCATCGCCGATGCTAGATCTACCTCTTTTGGCACCCTTCTACGCAATGAGGAATATGAGGTAAGCAAGTAAATTAGAAACCATAGTTTCAATTAATTAAAAGGGCCCCGAATTATTATATGTGCCCAAGGGCCCCAGCGTAGTCTTAGACGACTCTGGCTGTACTTACCATTATGAACCTTCGTTATCAGTATTTATTGGCACTAACTTAACATTCTGTATGCTACTGTTCAACATTGACTGCAGAAGTCTACGGCCTAACGAGCAGATATCGTAAACTTGTTTAGCACTGAATTTTTCTTGATCAAAATCAGATAATCTGAAAACACATCCATATATTTCTTAAAGATATAGGAAAAGATCGTAATAAATGTCAATATTCCTTGTACTTACAATCGTAAATAGATCTTGATGATTAACTGACCAATCCCCAAACGGTCACCGGTGACCACTCTCCACTAACTTCATTATAGACCTTATTTCCGATGTTTAGAGACTACCATTGTATGAACAAATTGGGGATTTATATCAGACTAGCTACTTCCGCGGTTTCACACGCTCTGCTCAGCTCCTATTGATCGTAGCGTGATGTTTTATAGCCTATAGCCATCCTCAATAAATGCGCTATCCAACACAAAAAGAATTATTCAAATCGGACTTGTAGTTACGGAGATTAGCGCGTTCAAACAAACAAACAAAAAAACAAACTCTGCAGCTTTATATAATAGTAAGTACTCTTTTGTATGAACAAATTGGGAATTTATATCAGACTAGCTACTTCCGCGCGGTTTCACACGCTCTGCTCAGCTCCTATTGGTCGTAGCGTGATGTTTTAGCCTATAGCCATTCTCGATAAATGCGCTATCCAACACAAAAAGAATTATTCAAATCGGACTTGTAGTTACGGAGATTAGCGCGTTCAAACAATCAAATAAAAAAACAAACTCTTCAGCTTTATATAATAGTAAGTATAAGATGATCGTGTACGAATTAAAAAATCAATTTTTTATCCACAGAAGCGCAGCAACATCCTCAGGCATCCTCCATGCTCGTCTAGACGCCTGCTACGAACAATGGCGTCAACTAGAACGAGAACGTAAGCGTACTGAAGCAAGGCTGGCCCTGGCTTATCCTGGTAGGGCTGTGTCCTCGTCCAACTCAATACCAGTGCCACGACTGCCACCCTGCCCCACCAGGGTAGATCGACTCACTGTTGATATGCTCAGGGAGCATACTAAGGTAAAATAAATATAACATATTGCTACCCATTTATAATAACTATCGTGAGACATACTAAATTAACTAAAATCCCGGGTTACTCACTTGAATATACTGAGAAAAGCTCTACTAGTTTCGAACCACAGAGGGGTTCTTCCTCATAGGCAGCGTGCGTGGTCGCGGCGACGTCGCCGCTTTTCTTAGTATATTCACGTGAGTAATCCGCGATTTTAGTTAAGTTGCAATACTTAGATAAAATATTGCTAACTTTACGAGTGGGAGGTTGTTACGTCATAACGTGCTACAAAATGTGGCACGCTGTGACGTCACACGATATTTCAAATTAATATATCGTCGAAAGTATTTAATTTTGTGAGAAAATAAAAAATACGTGTCTAAAGTTTTAAATTAATGTACCAGACGACATTAAAATAAAATTTAGGAAACTACCCTATTATGGCTATTCATATTTATGTTCTGGGTCGAAACAGAACCAAGAAGTTGCTAATATGTATTATTAAGCAGGTCCTTAAGTTAGATTAAGTCAAAAGGTTAACTTATTTCTTTTATCCAAAAATGAAGTATTGGGATTATAAGTTCGAAACGGTGCATAATATTACAATAATCTTGTCCCCCTTTTGTTATAACATGGAAGTCATAACATAACCGGCTAAAGGTAAAAAGAGTAACAATATTAAACTGTCACACACCGCAAGAGTAACAATATTAAACTGTCACACACCGCGAGGACATCGGTGACCGCAACCTATTGATCTTTAACACGTTAAACGGCATGGGGGTCACCGGTGACCGGCGTTAGCGGAGGATTTACCTTCAACAGTTTTTTATTGGCAGTCAAAGTCTTAATTGTGTCTATAATGATGGTACTCAAAGGGTTAACGAATCAATAAAATCACCTTCCCTCAAAACAACTTTATTATATACCACACAAACCATTTTCTCTTTGCCAAATAAAAACCCTCAAATATTCCAGGTACTAACACTAATGGGAAAAATGGAAACGCTTCGCGCGAGTGTCTGCGTGGCTCAGAACAAGAAACCCAATAAACCAGAGGAAAATAAGATCACAGTACTGAAGCGGGGACAGGAAGTGAATGAGAAGGAGAAAGAGGGAGTCGGAGTCGGGGTCGATCCTGCTACCTTCGACCCTAGCACTTGGAAGGAGGACATTAATCATTTGTCAGAGATGTGAGTATTTATTCATATGAATAATTCGACTGCACGGTTGGTGCGGTGGCTGGGCAACCGGCTGCCGTGCAACCTGTCACGGGTTCGATTCCCGCACGGAACAACACTTTGTGTGATCCACAAATTGTTGTTTCGGGTCTGAGTGTCATGCGTATGTGAACTTGTACATACAAGTTACAAACATTTGTAAAAGCACCCACTATACAGGAGAAAGTCCTAATGTGGGGTGGTACAAAAATAATATTTGAATCTGATTTCATATTTGTGCATAAAAAATAAATATTTGAAAATAGTACTTACCAAAAAATTTTTGAAAATAATACCTCCTTTTTTGTAGTCGATTAAAATCTGTTTTTGTTTTATCGGTCTCCTGGGTATTTCAGAATTTCTTTAAAGTTTAATTTTTCTCAAAAATTTTGAGACCCTTGTTATAGGAAGCGAATCTTTGACCATTCGTCATATACTGAGAATCGAATTTTTACTTGGGTTTGCTTATGCTTCGGTACGAATGGTCGGGCTCGACCGGAGAGTTACCATGGCTTTACCGAAAACAAATGTAAAACACAACTTGCGTTATGTTTCGGTGTCCATAAGCGACGCTGATTGCTTACCATCAGGTGATCCGTCTGCTCGTTTGCCGGCTTATCCCATAAAAAAAACTTATGTTAACTCCGATCAAAGCCAAGAATTGACATTGACAATATAAAATGTCTATGCCTATGTGCCTAAATTGTCAATATACCACCTTACAATCATCTTATTTATAATGTTCTGTTCTAGCGCCCCCCACAGTGAGGTAGAAAGCGCGATGTTAGCGTGGCGCAGTGCAGTGGGCGCTGTACAGGCTGCGAGACGCCGGGAACTAGCGCCTCATCGGGCTCCGAGACCTGACCGTACGTATATAACATAACATATCCCCAAATGGTAGGTATAATTGTACATTACTGCACTTAATGCCACTGTACAATGTTACACTTACTTTTCACTATTTATGTTACGAGTCCCATGTAATAGGGGGTGAGTTTATTGCTATATAACAGGCACAAATCTAGTCTCCACGAACCACTGAGATTTTTTTTAAAACCCAGTAGTACTTTGCCCGTCCTTGGAATTGAATCCGAGACCCCTTGCCGCCCAGTCGCACTTGCGATCACTCGGCCAACGAGTCAGGCAGGCAGAGGCAGAAATTTAATAAAACGCATAATATTTTCTGATTCACTTCGTTGCGGGAACCAAGACAGTTACTCATGTCCCTGGGACGCGCCGGACTTCAGTGTTCCGGTGTTTTCATGGTTGTATCTACTGTAGATCCTGGCTTACAGGAGTTGCAGCGGTTTTCGGAGGTTGTGGTGGGCTTGTCCCAAAAATTAAAAACGCATAATATATTGACTGACTGCACGGTTGGTGCGGTGGCTAGGCAACCGGCTGGCTCCCCCTGCGGTGCCCTACGTGGCCCACAGCGACGACGACGGCGACACAGTTTCGGAGGTGACCGAGGCGGACTCGGTCTTTACAGCGCATGCTTGGAGAGGGGCCAGTTCCCGCTATTGTGGAAGGCGGGTAAATTGGTCCTTGTGAAGAAGCCGGGGCGCCCTGCGGACTCTCCGTCCGCGTACCGGCCCATCGTGTTGCTCGACAAGGTGGGAAAAGATTTCGAAAGGATCATTTCGTTACCGCCTCGTCGCGCACCTGTCGGATGTTGGGCCGGACCTGTCGGACGGCCAGTTCGGCTTCCGCAGAAAAAAAAAATCTGACGGAACGGTCCGTCATTTACCCCGGTCACCGAGGTGAGTGGAACCGGCGAGAGACGTCGCGCGGTGTTCCACAGGGTTCGGTTTTGGGGCCGCTCCTATGGAACATCGGCTATGACTGGGTGCTGCGCACGACCTCCCGAACTACGTCAGCGTGGTCTGTTACGCTGACGACACACTGGTATTAGCACACGGGAGGTCGCATCAGGCGGCGGCTAATTTAACGGCGAGAGCGGTTAAATTAGCCGACGACTGTCGTAGTCGTTGTAAGGATCCGGCAACTGGGACTCGAGGTGGGGCTCCACAAGTCCGAGGCCATGTGCTTTCATGGCCGCGGGAACGCGCCACCTCCGGGTGAGTCCCAAATAACGGCGGGAGGAGTTACCATCGGCGTCGAGACGACGATGAAGTACCTAGGACTCGTCCTCGACAGTCGGTGTAACTTCGTGGAGCATTTCCGACGTTTGGCTCCCTAAGTTGGAAAGGACGGGGGCGGCGCTAAAGCGCCTCCTACCTAACCTCGGGGGGCCAAACGCCTCCTGCCGGAGGTTATACGCCGGGGTCGTGCGGTCCATGGCCCTCTACGCGGCGTCCCGCTCGGGCGCTGCTCACATCACAGAGGGTCATGGCGATCCGATTGATCCGCGGATATCGCACGATCTCCGGGGAGTCGGCGAACCTCCTTGCCGGATTACCGCCGTGGGATCTGGAGGCGAAAGTGCTCGCGCGCGTATTTTGTTTGCGCGCGGAGGCACGTCGCCGGGGCGAAACTTCGCTGCCGCGCCAGATTAGTGCGTGGCGGGATGAGCTCCGGCGCAGTCTCATGGCGGAATGGCAGCAACGACTGTCGCAACCGAAGGCTGGGCTCGCTGTCATTGCAGCGGTAAGTCCCCTCATTGAGAAGTGGCTTGAGAGACGCTACGGCGTCCTCACCTACCGCCTGACGCAGGTCCTCACCGGACACGGGAGTTTCGGTAGGTTCCTGTTTCGGATTGTCCCGCCCAATCCCCGGATACGCCCGGGTGTCATCACTGCGAGGATCGCCCGGAGGACACAGTGGAGCATACAGTGGCGCTGTGTCCTGCGTGGACTGAGCACCGCCGCGTTCTCAGGAATGTGATCGGCGACGGCGACCTTTCGCGTCCGGCTCTGGTTCAGACCATGTTATGGAGTGAGGGGGACTGGAATGCCGTCTCTTCCTTTTGCGAAGCAGTCATGCTAGCTAAGGAGGAGGCGGAGCGCGTGAGGGAACGAACCTCCTCACAACCCGGCCGTCGTGAGAGACGCTCCGGGCGTCGGAGATCACTAGACGATCTCCGGCCACTGTAAGCACGGGCCTGCGGACGGCGAGCATGGGTGACTCGCCGCCCGACCAGAACCAGGCCCGAGCGTACGGCGCGTCGCGTTCCGCGCGCGGCCTATGGAGCCATCAGACCACCACAGATGGGGCCCAACAGGGCTGATGCCGATACGGAGCTGCGGAAGACTTTACGGGTTGTCGGGGCTCCGGCTCGAAGTGCAGGAGTAGGAACGGGGTGGTTTTTAGTCAGTAAGAGCCTGACACTCCCTCTCGCCTCACCCGGGCGGAAGATGTCATTAGATAATTTTCCACCCTCACAAAAAAAGGCAACCTACTGCAAACAAACTCAGAAAAAGTCATTAGTACTTGTCGTTGGTAGGTTTCGAACCCGCATCCTCGTGCATGAGAAGCGGGCGTCTAAAACCTTCGAGCCACCACGACGTATCACGATACATCTAGCTTGTCAAACATTATTTTCGTCACTTTATCTCAAAGCACTTTAGTTTTAAATGAAATAATGTCCCCCCAGCGATCCTGCAGCTGTCGGAGGCGGTGAAGGCGCTGAGTGAGTGTGCGCGCCGCGCGCGCTGCGCCATGTGGTGCGACCTCACGCTCACCGTCGCACTCGCGCCGCACAACAACGACCACGTCGCCGTAAGTATTATACATGTTTCTGAGTGAGTGCGCCATGTGGTGCGACCTCACGCTCACCGTCGCACTCGCGCCGCACAACAACGACCACGTCGCCGTAAGTATTATACATGTTTCTGAGTGAGTGCGCCATGTGGTGCGACCTCACGCTCACCGTCGCACTCGCGCCGCACAACAACGACCACGTCGCCGTAAGTATTATACATGTTTCTGAGTGAGTGCGCCATGTGGTGCGACCTCACGCTCACCGTCGCACTCGCGCCGCACAACAACGACCACGTCGCCGTAAGTATTATACATGTTTCTGAGTGAGTGCGCCATGTGGTGCGACCTCACGCTCACCGTCGCACTCGCGCCGCACAACAACGACCACGTCGCCGTAAGTATTATACATGTTTCTGAGTGAGTGCGCCATGTGGTGCGACCTCACGCTCACCGTCGCACTCGCGCCGCACAACAACGACCACGTCGCCGTAAGTATTATACATGTTTCTGAGTGAGTGCGCCATGTGGTGCGACCTCACGCTCACCGTCGCACTCGCGCCGCACAACAACGACTACGTCGCCGTAAGTATTATACATGTTTCTGAGTGAGTGCGCCATGTGGTGCGACCTCACGCTCACCGTCGCACTCGCGCCGCACAACAACGACCACGTCGCCGTAAGTATTATACATGTTTCTGAGTGAGTGCGCCATGTGGTGCGACCTCACGCTCACCGTCGCACTCGCGCCGCACAACAACGACTACGTCGCCGTAAGTATTATACATGTTTCTGAGTGAGTGCGCCATGTGGTGCGACCTCACGCTCACCGTCGCACTCGCGCCGCACAACAACGACCACGTCGCCGTAAGTATTATACATGTTTCTGAGTGAGTGCGCCATGTGGTGCGACCTCACGCTCACCGTCGCACTCGCGCCGCACAACAACGACTACGTCGCCGTAAGTATTATACATGTTTCTGAGTGAGTGCGCCATGTGGTGCGACCTCACGCTCACCGTCGCACTCGCGCCGCACAACAACGACCACGTCGCCGTAAGTATTATACATGTTTCTGAGTGAGTGCGCCATGTGGTGCGACCTCACGCTCACCGTCGCACTCGCGCCGCACAACAACGACTACGTCGCCGTAAGTATTATACATGTTTCTGAGTGAGTGCGCCATGTGGTGCGACCTCACGCTCACCGTCGCACTCGCGCCGCACAACAACGACCACGTCGCCGTAAGTATTATACATGTTTCTGAGTGAGTGCGCCATGTGGTGCGACCTCACGCTCACCGTCGCACTCGCGCCGCACAACAACGACTACGTCGCCGTAAGTATTATACATGTTTCTGAGTGAGTGCGCCATGTGGTGCGACCTCACGCTCACCGTCGCACTCGCGCCGCACAACAACGACCACGTCGCCGTAAGTATTATACATGTTTCTGAGTGAGTGCGCCATGTGGTGCGACCTCACGCTCACCGTCGCACTCGCGCCGCACAACAACGACTACGTCGCCGTAAGTATTATACATGTTTCTGAGTGAGTGCGCCATGTGGTGCGACCTCACGCTCACCGTCGCACTCGCGCCGCACAACAACGACCACGTCGCCGTAAGTATTATACATGTTTCTGAGTGAGTGCGCCATGTGGTGCGACCTCACGCTCACCGTCGCACTCGCGCCGCACAACAACGACTACGTCGCCGTAAGTATTATACATGTTTCTGAGTGAGTGCGCCATGTGGTGCGACCTCACGCTCACCGTCGCACTCGCGCCGCACAACAACGACCACGTCGCCGTAAGTATTATACATGTTTCTGAGTGAGTGCGCCATGTGGTGCGACCTCACGCTCACCGTCGCACTCGCGCCGCACAACAACGACTACGTCGCCGTAAGTATTATACATGTTTCTGAGTGAGTGCGCCATGTGGTGCGACCTCACGCTCACCGTCGCACTCGCGCCGCACAACAACGACCACGTCGCCGTAAGTATTATACATGTTTCTGAGTGAGTGCGCCATGTGGTGCGACCTCACGCTCACCGTCGCACTCGCGCCGCACAACAACGACCACGTCGCCGTAAGTATTATACATGTTTCTGAGTGAGTGCGCCATGTGGTGCGACCTCACGCTCACCGTCGCACTCGCGCCGCACAACAACGACCACGTCGCCGTAAGTATTATACATGTTTCTGAGTGAGTGCGCCATGTGGTGCGACCTCACGCTCACCGTCGCACTCGCGCCGCACAACAACGACCACGTCGCCGTAAGTATTATACATGTTTCTGAGTGAGTGCGCCATGTGGTGCGACCTCACGCTCACCGTCGCACTCGCGCCGCACAACAACGACCACGTCGCCGTAAGTATTATACATGTTTCTGAGTGAGTGCGCCATGTGGTGCGACCTCACGCTCACCGTCGCACTCGCGCCGCACAACAACGACCACGTCGCCGTAAGTATTATACATGTTTCTGAGTGAGTGCGCCATGTGGTGCGACCTCACGCTCACCGTCGCACTCGCGCCGCACAACAACGACCACGTCGCCGTATGTATTATACATGTTTCTTCATCTCCTAATATACATTTGTTTACACAAAGTTCATCAAAGTCTGCCTACAGGTCTAAAGGAAAATGTTTGGTTTGACATTATGCGGAATTTGGTCGAAAACTCAGTGTTGACCGTATTAAGCCTTTAACTGCCGACAAAAACTGTAAAAGGCTAATCCTCCGCTAGCGTCGGACATCATTGTCCGACACGGCAGCCAACGTCTTAATTAATTTCAGCTTAGTAGAAAGTAGATTATGTAATTTCTGTTAAATGTTACCTATTGCCAATGGCAAGAAATCCGATTCATCTCATTCATATATTATTCCTTTTTACTTATTTTTTGAAAACAATCTAAGGTACATAATTTTACACTCGAGAAAGAAAACTGATCTGACGTTTTAGCTTCGTTTGCTTTGTCTCATCCCCAGTCCACATAAAATACGACCAAATTATAAACATTTTTACATACTTGTATCACAAAAATCACGCGACGTTTACTAGTAATCATAGTTCAATATAATACTGTGCATATTCCAGGTGGACACAGCGTCCCCAGTATCTCCTCAGACCCCGGCAGCCAAGTCCCCCGCGGGAGCAGAGAGTACTACCACCACTACAGCTACTCCTGCTGCACCTGCCACCCAGCCTGCAGAGGTAAGTAATGTATTATTTATAACTTAGGACCTCCTTACAATGCATACTAGCTTTCCAGGAAATTAAGAAGCGTAGCCTATATCACTTTCTAACTTCCTAATTATCTTCAGACAGAAAATCACACCACAAAAAACTCCTTTTGAATGCTTCCTTCTAAGATTTATTATAATCATTTGATTTGTGTACTTGCCAACTAGTCAATACTTTTTGTGAATTGTCAAAAACAACAGTTTCATATGAATTTTGTACGAGATTGTGTATTGTGTGTGACGTCACATTTTTTTAGCGTCAAACAGCATACTTATTTCTTGAAAATTTGATGGAAAATACTAAAATTAAGTTGCTCATAAAATCAACTGAAGTAGAAAGTGTAATTGATTCTTTTTTAATATTTTTCCTGTATTGAACAGTCGAAATAATTTATTTTTGATTAAGGAAAGTATCCAATTTTCTAACTCATATAAATTATCTCTCAACATCTGCGGGATTTTGTTTACATTGAAATCTACTGTCTTTCACTTTCTTGCTACTTTCTTTGGGATAATATTTTCTCAATTGTTATAATGTAGATAAACAAAAACTTTACATTTTACCTATGTGGTACTTCCAGGAAAAACCACCCGCCGAAGCGCAACAAACAAAAACTGAAACCAAAAACGAAGCGAAACCCGCTGCAAAACAGACTGAAAACAAAGAGAAAAATCAACAACGACGCACACAGAATTATAGAAAAGTGAACCAACGTAGCGACTTCTACCAGAAGAACCAAAGGTATGATACGAGATTTATGCATAACCGACATCCCTATCACTACCTCGCGACCGGACCTATCAACTAAGGCCTAGTTACAATACGTATTTGGCAATATTAATTTTTAAATAATATTTATAATGGTATAAGGTTTGAAAGAATAAACGCAAGGGTTTAAAGGTATTGGTCTAAGACTATGAAAGGAAATTACTTGTTTTAGCACTACACACTACACATGAGACGATTTCAGAACGAATGAATACGGTGTGAGGCGCCATGTTGAATAATATAGGGCAATAATTGAAAAAAATACTATATTTTTGTACCCAACGTCTAAGACCTAAATTCTCCAGATGTTATTTTTCCTTGGTTCGTGGTATTTTTTCCATCTTTCTCGGTAACTGTACAAGTCATGGCCGAAAATGAAACATCTTTTCTCACCCTGTTTTATGCAGGATTCATAATACTTTAAAAATTTACATTTCTATGAAAATTGACGCGATTAATCTACTTCAAATATAAATTACTGTTTTTTTTTTAATATCCAAAATTGGCTAAAATCTATTTTGAGTTTCATTGCTTAAACCAGTATCTGGAACAACTTGCGTTTGTTCACTTACACCTAGAATGTAAACTAATTCGAGGGTTTCCCGACTAGTTTCGAACTACACCGGGGCTCTTAAGAGAGTATAAATATTATTTAAACCCTAATATGTTAAAAAAACATATTGAACCTTATTTGAATTGACTTAAGAAATAGATTATTCGATATTAGGATATATGGAATTGATGTTTATGTCGTGTTGATGATTCAAATTTTTATTAAGAAATATTAATTTATGGTCTTAATGATGCTAGATTCTTGCGTGTAGTTACTTGCGCTAAATGAAATGAATGCGCTAAAGTTTGCGCAACTTTAAATTGTCCGTTAGTCTAGTATTGACGATGGAAAATCAAATTGTATCTGATTTTTAGCTACTTTTCACTATAATTTTGTGAATTTCAAAATAATAAATGTTTTAAAATCTTCTGGTTTCTAACTGAACCAATTTCATATTAATAGTTTTACCTGACAGTCTAAAAAAGAAGTATTCGCGATATACTTTGATTTTTCGTCGCATAAACGTGTTTTGACGTAAGAAAATAAGCCTTAAGGAATTTAAATTGTATCGATGTGTAGAACTTGCCTTATGATTCAATTTGAAATTATTGAATTAAATGAAAGATCTGAGAAACTAAAAAAATAATAAAATGCTTTACTTATTATTAAATTCTCTAAACGACTGAGCGAGACAAAGCTAGAGCAAGAGATAGATGTATTTCAGCTTATTTATAAAAATACAAATAAGGTTCAATATTAAGTGAGGAGCTTGTCCGAAGTATGTTTATAGCCTTATTCTGACGTCGAGAATCTATTTTCCTCTTTATAACAACTATGTTTTTTGAAGTTAGAAACTCATTTCTGATTGGAAAAAAAAGGTTTTATTTCGATAATATAACAGTGTTAATAGATTATGCCATTCCTACTGCCATAATTATACGCTTAAATTCGTTACTATAAGATCAAAGATACTGATGTTTTCAAGTCATCGAGAATTGAGTATAACATATTAGAATTGAGCACCTAATCTCATGCTTCGCTCAATTTTTTATAATAAAAATATATTTTTACTTTCAAAACATAAACACTGTTTTTAATAAACAAGTTTTTAATCATCACACGCTCAAATGTTCTTATTTTATGCTCAGTTTTTTCTTATAATGCTCAATTCATGTTGTACTGAATTTTTGAGCTTGTAAAGTGAAAATAGTTAAAATAGTTCGTTGGAATAAGGTCTAAAATAACTTCGGACTATCCAATATATGCATATGCATCATTAAAAGCATTTTATCATGAACGTTTTAAATTCTTAATCGCCTCACAGTAATAAAAGTATGAAATTTGGTACAAAAAAAAACGTATATTTAATAATAATTCTGCTATAGTCAGTATTGGATGTTGGTAGATGAAAATTTTATAATATATCGGTGTTTTAGATTTTTAATAATTAAAGTTTAATATTATGGATGTGCTTTTTAACCCTGCATAGAGCGCATAGTGCCCATTATCGGAATATGAGCTTATAATGTACCCAAACTCTAGACCAATTTTCTCTTAAGCAATTTACACAGATTTTAATCGAACACGAAATTTCATACTTCTATTACTCGCGGCCGAGAAAGGGATTGATGCAATCATAGATATATCATATCAAGATACAAATAATGTAGGGACACGAAGTCACTTTTTACGATTGATTTGAAAAAATTGCATTTATGTACGATTTTAAACGCTATTGATGTGTATATTAGAACGATTTTCGTTTATATAGAAACAAAAACTGCATATCTTTTGTACTTTCATAGATTTTAAACAGTTTCGGTGTCCTTTATAGAAATTTCGCGTTTCTATACCTATTTATTACTACTCGAGAAACTGGAAGTTTAAAAAAATGTCTAAATATACGCTTCAGTATTTTAAAACCGTACACAATCATAAAAGGTGTACGTCGCAAAGACTAAAACAGGTATAATAGAGACCACACTTTAATTATTATAAAGCGAATATAATAATTATTAATAACTACATTATTATCACTCTGTGTGTAGGTTAATAATTGCCAGTATCAGATTTGCATTATTTATTCAACGCGCTTAGCTGGATGACTTTAAAAAGTATTATTATGATGAAGGCGTATTATTGGTCGTTTCAGTGATACTTGCCAAATTATTACGGTGTGAGCGATGTCAAAGAAAGGCGTTGTATTTGAAAAGTGAAGTAGCAAGGTTAGACAGATAGGTCGCTTTTCGAATTAAATGTTTAGACGCATTAGAATAGATTAGCGCGAGTGAACGGTACGAATTAATTTATTCATTACGTTTTGATTGGATGAAACAAAAACATTTCCAATCTCTACAGTACACTTAGAAGCAGTTTCTAGTCACATCTTTAAACAAAGTATTTTTATGAATGAATCGTTAGACATGTTCGTAGTTCTCGCTCACACCGACCTCAAGAATACCCTTAAAATGTGATGTTTCTACGTTATAAATAGTTGACACTATATTAATATATCACGTTTGTGCGAATAACAAAGGAAATATATATAAAATGAAGTTATGAACTATTAGAGTGTAAGTGTACCACATTTTATTTATTTAATTGAGAAAAAGAAAATAAAAAACAATGAATTTAAATTCGAATGAATTTGTATAGTTGATAGTTAGTGCTTATTCGGATGTTGAGACGTACTGAATCGTTATATGGGGCGGTGCAATAATATCGTGTTGAATAAAAATGCAATTTATTCCTATTACAGCTTCGGTATTTAAATAATTGCTTAACAATGTAATGGGCGTAGATTATATTTTTCGTAGACAGATCATTGTTGTTCCCGCCCTAAGTGTTGTATAAGGGTGAAGCTTCAAACGACGAGTCGGCTAGTTTTCGTCAATTCTTTATAAAATTTAATTTGTACTGTAGCGTTTAACCCTTACCTCGTTGCTACGGTGCGAATAAAGTTATTATTAGTAAAATATATGCACCTGTGTTCTTATATTAAATGTTACGGCCAAATGAATTGACTTGCTGATGGGTCAGTTCGATAATAATATTAGGTTAAATTTTTCTTTAGTCATTTTTTGCGTGGACGTTCAGAATCATTGTGGGGTTAATGTTGTGTCGTAAAAAATCGGTAGAGCGATTCTCAATACATTTAAAATTTAACGTACAGTGCACAAACTGCGGACGCAGAACGTAACCAAAATGATAGGGTAAAATGAAATCTTCCATCTTTAGTTTGTTAGTATGTAAGAACAAAATATTAGTTATTTAATTATTATTATTATTTTCACATTATTATTATTTGTTTAAACGTGTAATCGTACCGGTTTCTTTGTTTAATTATGACTCGTAATAGAGTTGTGTTAAGGTTTGTTGTCCAATATATCTCTGCTAAGGAACCGGTAGGTACATAATAGGTTTATTTAATCAATTACGATGGCTATAGATATTTTATTAGTATTCGTTGATTGTAGTGCCTTCCTATATAAATGTGCATGCATTTTAAGCCCTATGCAGTGTTGTACAAGCATTCAAATTAGTTGTTTGGAAATACCGTTGAATTTTTCATAGTTTTTTTTTAGTTATACCTTACTCGTGATGCATTTCCGTGTGCAATAAGCTTTATTTATTTTTTTATACGCACTCGTTGTGCTCATTGGGAAGTGGGGTTGGTTTTAGTAGAAAAATTGGAATTGGTAGGATTTTTGGTAGGAAAACTGACATTGCCATATGAAAAAATTAGGTGTATATTTTTTTGGCTTCGTGATTATGACCAGTTTAGCCGCCTAACTTTTGAAAGGTACATTCGATGTTCTGTGAGCGTTCAAGAGACCCAACCGACCCCATACATAGGCTTCCAAATTGATATAATATATTTAAAAGGATATTAGTACAATCAATTCGCACTTAGCGTTTGTAGCATGTAGTCAAAGATATTCTTGTTCTCAAATAAAAAAATATATAGCACAATATTTAAATGAAATATTTAGTTTTATAGCTAATTAGTAGTTAGTTAATTTTTCGTCCTATCGAATGCTGACTATATTTGTAACTGAGAAAAGAAAAAATAGATTTTTTACTTCACTGTTTTTCCAATGTTGCCATATAGTAACTATTTACCTCAATCACTGTCTTGCAAGTAGAAAAAAATCTACTTATGTATTTTTTTTTCTTTTTTCTTGTGCAAAGCGAAGGTACTAAGTGTCATTGCAGTTTTAAAAAGTTTATTACATGTGTTAGATGATTCTTTAAGCCTTGGCTACATTGAAATGCGAAGCTATGATATGCGAAGATATAAAATGAATTTATATTTAATTTAATGAATTGTTGTTTATTTTCAAATTTTTATATAAGAACTAGATTGTTTTGAAATGAATTATTTTGGCGTTAGAATTAGGTTAGGTAAATGTTTTTGATGAAGTTTATTGTCCATTTTGAAATTTGATGCTCAAGTTTAAGTATCTAGTTCAAAATTGTGAACCTACGGGAACATTAGAGGATATTAAACTTCGAAAATTCTCTGTAATAGCATGAGATTCTCAAGTAGTTCGATATTTCGCAATTAAAATCGCTCCTTGTAACATTACTCGCGAAATTTCTTGTCTGATTGCTTCAATCAAATAAAGGACAGTCAGTTTACCGCTGGACAAGCTACACTGATAAAAATTAGCTCTAAAATTGAGCTACAATCAAATTTATTTTGTAAATTAGGCCGCTAGTTTACTATATATGTGCAATGAAGTAAAAATAAATAAATGTTTTTAACTAAATAGTAG